ATCAGGCCAGCTTATCAATAGAGAAGATTGTTCTTGGAGCTCAGATGACCTCATTTCTAAATATGAAGCAAACAACCAGCAGCTAAGTGGTCAGCTTCTTTCATATGTTGAAATCTACTTAAGAAATAGGCAGTGTTTCTTGTTTACTGTCAGCAAAATGACAAAGGGAACAAAAAAGATCAATAGCATAAGTATATTAAAAATAATATGGTCATAATAATTAGCTTTCTACCTCCTCCATTGTTCATCCTAATTCATAATCAGAATTACTATTAAAATGTATGCATTAAGAGATATATTATTTGTGTGTCATGCTATGTGATAAACAAAATAATTATTATTAAAAAGAAAAATGTACCAAAGGGAACAGTTCTGATTACAGTTTGCTGATTTCTGAGGAACAAATACTCCCATTACAGCTGATTTCAAGTTATCAAGTGGTCACTAAACACTACCAGCTGTTGGGTTTAGGAAGACATACACTGTAGGACTCACTCAGACTCCTTAGGACACAAAGACTAAAAGACAGTAATATATCAGATCTGTAAATTAATCATCTAGTAAATCTTGTGAAAGATGAAACAGCAAAAATAGCTTAAGGTAACAACCCACAAGTGTAGAAAAGGTAGCCATTAGCCTAGAGGCCAATACTTTTGTTTCTCGGGCTGAAGGAAATTTATAAAGTTAATTTTTTTTCCTGGAGAATTTGTAGAAAAAGAATTCTTGCTAGTAGTCACTATGACTTTCCCAAAGGGTTGGCTCAGTGGGAACTCTATGCCTGTTATTATTAAGCTACTCCATGACAAAAGTCTTACTTTATTTACTGCAACTATTCTCAAAAACAAACAAAAAACACCAATAATATCCTAATTTACCAGCCAGTAATGTCTTTTTATTTTTATTTTTTTTTCCTAATTTTGCTTTTACATTTAATGTTGTTGAAGTCCTCTCTCTTCCAAAACTTCCATAGTGGCTTCTTAGATAACATCATTCATAGCTTCTCCCCTGTCTTCCCGACTATACTTATTCTCCTATGCTGGCTTTGCTTTCTCTAATCTGATTTTAAATTTTATTTTCAAAAATTTTCTATCTTTAGCCCTCTTTTCTTTTCACTATACATATTCTCCATGAGTGATCTAGTCCATTATCTATCCATTTTAACTATCATGTAATGACTAATAATAAATCCTTATCTTTTGCCCTAAACTTTCTCCTAAGCTGCAGACCTGTTTTTCCAGATTCTAACAGGACATCTTCCATATGTTATATTGCAGGTACATCAAATTCAATGTGGCCAAAACCAAATTTATGCTTCCACCCCAAGCTAGCTGTTTTTGTATCTCTTATATTATTGCATTATTTAACAGGCTCAATATCAAACTAAAACTTAGTAAATTTGTGAGTTATCTTTGATTTCACCTCCAAATGACCCATCCTAATCAGTCAAGAAATATTGCTCAGTCATTTTATAGAAACAAAGATCTCAACTCTTAGCTATTTGGTAGTTCATGCTGGTAATTAGAGTCTATTACACTTGTTTATCACAGTCGCTGCTAAATGCCTACCAATATTCTTTCTCTCCTTTTGTTCTTTACTAAAAGAATCCATATTTATTTTGGCTGTCTAACAACAACAAAACAAAACTTCGTTTTCCAGGAAGTAACTAGAATGATCATTTGACTTGAGTCTGGCCTCTGAGATACAAGCAGGAATCTAGGGGGAGGCATCCGGAAAGAGCTATTACTTTTCTGAGTACAATGGGCTGACTCATCTGGTATGGCCATTTGCCTTTCCCTCTTGGTTTTTCTTTGGAACTGGAGTTTAAACATGAGCTTAGGGGTGCAGGAGTCATTCTGTGACTATGGGGATGAATATCTTACTTTAACAACAGGAAGCAGGAAGCCATGCTCTAAAAACAGGGAGTAGTACCAGCTGAGGGCTATTTGTGAAAATAAATTCCATATTTATTCAGATAGTTTTGCACAGATTTTGATATGCCACTCATTCTGTTCTGTGTCTGAAAAATATTTTCTGCCCTCATATACAAAGGAATATTCTTTAACCAGCAATATTGGTAAAAACCATAATATAGTCATCTAATTTTAATAAGAGGCAGTAAATTATAATGACCATGGAATATAGAGTTGAAAGATATTAATGTGCAACTGTTCTCCCCCTTACTGGTGGCTATGTAATCTTGGTGCATGGATTGATGCTCAACCAGTGGGCCACACCGGCGAGGCAAGAGATCATAGTTCTTGATACATAGTAAATATTTACCATGATAATTAGGCATAGTTCATGATGAAATTAAAGAAGCTCTAGATTGTGATACTCAATTTTCATCATTTGGCTATAATCTCAAACACAGTATTTTGACTTGAAAAAAGCTATGAAAGCTTTATAAGCTCCTGATTCCATATTCTATTTAAAAATAAGTCATTGTTCTTTGACACCAGATTGGCTTATTTATTTACGGTAGGATAAGACCAAACCTAACTTGGAAATTCATGGTTTTTATTCTTAAAGCTGTTAACATGGGTTATTTTTTTATAATTATGTTTATACTTGGCATTAAGAAAAGTTAAACTATGGAATGTAACAATCCATGACCATAACACTAATAATGATTAAAGTTGAATAATATTATAGTTTACAAACAACTGTTAAATATTTTCTATATCATTTCTTTTTTTGAACATCTAAGACAGCTGTTATTTTAAAATTTAATATGTATTAACACTTAGCCATTTATTTAGATGTAACCATATAACATAAATATTTTTCTTTTTCAACAGCTTCAGTGAGTCTTAGATTTATTTTTTAATTTTCATTTATTAAATTTTTTAAAATTACAGTTTACTTTCAGTATTATTTTGTATTGTTTAGGTGTTAGATTCATTTTTACAGCCTTTATTATTCCTGAAATTTCTGCTTCAATCAAGAAGTGTTTTCAAAGTTTTTCTTCCCAGACCCTTAAATGTATTAATAACAGTATCTCATTCTGATATACATAACATTTCATTAACATCCAAGCCAAAAGAGAATAGAACAAACTGTCTGCTGCCAGTCCAAACTGATGAGCCTTTTGTTTTTTTGTGAAGAGAGAGAAGTCACCATTAAAATACTTACACCATTATTATGACCAAAAGCTTCTTCAAGCCTACAGATTAGAAACCTGTAAAATCCAGCTGAAATTTTAAAATATCATAAAGAAACACTCCGTAGCCATAAGAATTCCTGATATTTGGTCTTTTATAAATATCTTAAATATTATATGGCTCATCATATGACTTTTATCATTTTTAGAGAATATTTGTAACTTTTATTAGGATATAGGGTAGAGATAATTCAGCTATTGAATTATCTAGTACTCCAAAAGCTAGTACTCCGAAGTAGGAGCAAGGTCCTGGGAATCTGAAGCAGGTAAAATACAATAAAAATCAATAGATTGGGAATATAAAGTGGGGCTCCCTTTCAAATATTAATACCTTAGAAAACAAGAGAGTAACTCATGGTACTTGTATCTAACAGAATCAGGACTAGCTAATAGCCTGAGTAACCACATAATGTTGAAAAACTTGAAAGGGCATGAGAATTATCATGACCCATCAAATTTAGGGTAGGGCAGAAATAATTACATTCTGTTGAAAATCTGGAAGAGGCCCACTACTCTTTCTTTGTGTGAGATGATACAGCAGCATTAGCTGGGTTTGCATTAAGACCATTTGGGATGGAGCCAACAGCCAAAACATGGCAAGGAGCAACTAGAGCAATAGCCTCTGAATAGTACTCCTTGTCTTTAGTTTCCTTTTAAAATGCCTCTTAAGTATACCATTAAAGTTATCTTCTAAAAGCACAAATTTGTTCATATTGGTGACTACTTCTTTAAAACCCATAAGTGTAAAAAAGAACATTCTAGATTTTTAATTGAGTGATTTAAGGCCCTCAACAATCTTGTCCTAGCCAATTTTTCCATTGTTATCTCCTAATATGTATCCCAGTTTGCTCTATATTTCCATTCAAAAGAACACTAACTGTTCCTTAAACATGGCCTGTGCTCATATGCTTCTATGGTCTTGCTTAAGATCTCCTCATTGTCTGATATGTGCTTCACCTCATGTATTATTCTACAATGTATTCACAGATTTCTCCAAGGAAAATGAATGCTTCTCTTTTTATTCTTTCTTTGCAGGGTTTACTTGTTTTATGTCACGTAAGACAGCCTATTTTGTATGAGCATTACTTATGTACGTTTCTCCCTAATTCAATTATGAACTCTAGATTGGGAAAATTATACCTCCTTTCCTCCCTCCCTCCTTCCTTTCTTTTCATTCTCTCTCTCTTCTTTTTTCTTTTAAAATCTCCCTCCATTCCTTTATTCCTTCCTCATTCACTCACTTTGTTTTACTGTTATTCATTTGATTATTTCTCTGGCAATTATTTTCTTTTAATATTGCAGGATCGGAATTCAGAATTATAGTTGGTCAGCTTCAGAGTTACCCAGTTATGTAGTTCTGAGATGCAGGAAAGAGAAAGTTACTAAATGTCTTCTGAGATTATAAAGTATGTTCATATACACAAAAGAGGACTCATATAACAACCTTTTTCTTTTTTCTTTTTTTTAAGGGGACATCTGTAATTCTTTCAACAATAAAGATAAATTTATATAAAAAATAAAAATAACAGCCTGGTCGGTGTGGCTCAGTGTCTGAGCATTGACCCATGCACCAAAAGGTCGCCAGTTGAATTCCTGGTCAGGGCACATGCCCAGGTTGTGGGCCAGATCCCCAGTGGGGGGCATGTGGGAGGCTGCCAATCAATGTTCTCTCTCATCGATGTTTCTCTCTCTCTCTCTCTCCCTCTCCTTTCTTCTCTCTCTAAGGTCAATAAAGAGGGAGGGAGTAAATAAATAAAAATAACAGCCCAGGAAAGTTATTTGGTGCTGAAACATACTTTCAGTTATTTGCTCATCACTGAGCCATTAAAAAAAAAATCACGTGCTCACTTCAGCAGCACATATACTAAAGTTGGAACAATACAGAGAAGACTAGCAGGGCCTCTGCACAAAGATGACACGAAAATTCATGTAGCGTTCCATATGTTTTTTAAAAGATCACAAAATCTTAAAGGTGAAAGTGACATCCTTGTTGGCTTCCTCATTTTAGAGGAGAAACTTGAGTTAGAGAAGTTAAGTGAATTGACTAAAATTATACAACTTGTCAGTGAAAGCATCTTTCTATTTCTTCTTATTTAAAACATTTTTGTGAACTATAATTTCACTTTTAATGGGATACTAGGCAAGCATTTTAGAACCTAACTCATTTCTTTTAAAAGTATTCACCTATTATTTTTCTATTTATATATACTTTAAAATAAAGATTTTATTCCATTTCTGGAATTTTGAAAATTCTATCTAAAATGATATGTATAAGCAGAATATAAAAACAGCATGAAAATAACTCTACAATACCACTTATAACTATAGTTGGATAGTTTTTAAACAAGTGAAACTTTAAAATGATTAAAAAAACAAAACAAAAAACCAGTATCGTAAAACTAACTTGAATAAAAAGATGTTTTCTAACCTACTGAACTAACAAATTTACATAATCCTTTATTTATTTTTGATGCAGGGAGAAAACACAAATGGGCTTAAGAAGTAACATGTTCTTATATGACCGGAGCCTGAAAACTGTTAGCCTTGCTGTGAGTATTCCTAGTCATGAAAATGACCTGAAAGTGCCAATAAAATCATAGTTACTCAGGGAGTTGTGTTGAGCTGGTAAGTTTTGGTTCATCCATCAGAATAAAATCCAGCTGTCAGTTTTTTTTTATTACCCTTACCACACATGCTATAGTAAATAATAATAATAATAAAAAACCTACCATGATTGGGCACTCCTATGTGCTAGGCCAAGTTCCATACACTTTTCCATACCTGAGTTCCATACAAACTATATTTTGACCTCCTGAAGTTATCACCAGCCCAAGGTCCTTCTCTCATATGAGATATATTTCAAGATTAGCTATATTATTTACAGACTGGAGTATTATTTTACAATCTCTAAAACTGATAAAATAATAAAAATTCCAGGTTTAGAAAAACATTAGTAAATTTATTTTGCTAATAAATAGTATCTGTTTTCTTTCCAACTGAAGAAAAATTACAACAAATTTTTGTGCTCATAAACTGTAGATATGTTCAAATTATAATTAAATTATAATTAGTCAAATTAGATAGAAATTAATTATGTAGATGGCTCCACACTGTCCTAGCTGATTAATTGCATTAACTGACTAAAAGTTTTGACTTAAATATTGATTTAAACTTAGTGATCAATTATTTCATGTAAAGTAATAGATAAAACATTATAAATAAATTTATTCTCTAAATCATAATTATTATGACATAAGTTAATTAAAGATGCATAGATTCAATCATTTGTGAGGATATATCTAGTAGAGAGCCTGACACTGATCAGAGACTACTGAATCAATGAATGAAACAACATTAGATGAAGGAAACAAAACAGAAAATCGAGTTTAAACTTAATTTTAAAGATTAGGCTATGAGAGTAAATTATTTGCTTAATTAATGATGAGGTTGCTTAAAACCAAAGTGATTTTTTCAATACAGCCACCAAAATATCATATATTTGTATAGCACTTTATAGATTACAGGGTTCCCTCAATTTGTACACAGAAAAAAGTTAGACTGTGAAGAACTAAAAGGCAATTTATGCAAAGCCTTATCACCTAAGTAGCAGAATCAAAATTAGAAGCCAAATCTTCCATTTATTTCTCAGTATTTTCTTTATTATGATTAACTAGACAGAAAGCAATAATCATATGTCCATTAGAAAATCTGTTTTTGACTCTCATGTAATAACCTACCCAAACTTTCGCCTAAAGTTCTTATCTTGTTCTTACCTTGGAAAAATATGATTGATATTCATCTGCTCTAAAACATTTTCCAAACACATGCCACCCCTGCCATTCTACACATCTATGCTCGTGCTCATTCATACACACAAAAAAACCATTGAGTGCTTATCATAGCAAAAGCAAAATGCTTGCCACTGGAGAGCCAATAAAGATGAATAAAATACAGTCCCCATTCTCAACACTACTTGAAATAAGAAGTATGATCACTATATGAGACAGAATGTATGTATTTTAGGAGGTGATAGATGCCATGAGTTCGAAAGGTCTATAAGTTTTCATATTTCTGTTGTTTACAATATTTTTATATATGTAACTTTTATGTCTATATTTAATCCTTTTAGATGATATAAAATTTGAGTTGGAAAGAATGCGTCTGCCCTATTTATCACATTTTTTTCCTTCTTTATTTCCCATATCCTCCTTGATTCTATAAAGCAAGATCTCACTCCCCTTGGTGACCAATATGATTCATCCCTTGTACCCCTGTAGGGTATTCTAGTTGTTAGCAAGCCAGGAACTCTGGAGGCTTGAGGAAAGCAATGATGAATGCATAAATTTCTTTCTTGCTGGAGGTAAAAAAAAATTCTTTCCTCTGTGTGTTCTTAGGCAATATACAAGAAGAAAGTATTGCTCTTGGCAACAGTAGCTATTGTCCATAGATTGATCCTTTTAGCAGTAGATGTCTGAATGCCACTTTTTAAAAATTCTTTCCTTTGTCAATTTTTAGTAACATTATACTTACTAAAAAAAAGAAATTAAAATTTCTTCTACAACTTTATTGTGTTCTATAACACATAAGTTGTCTTCAACATCTCGAATGACTTCTTAATAATTAATAATTATCTTTTTTATATTTCCTGGCCTGAAATGCAGTTATATAGTAGGAGGAAGCAGTTCACAAATACAAGTTAAGAAAAAGGACCAATGCTTAGATGTCAGCATAAAATTATGAATAAGAAAACCATATTTCAATTTAAATGTGGTTTTATGACTAAGAAAAATAATTTTAAAAATAAACTTGCAAACACAAAGCTAAAAATATTTCATATGCTAGGATGTGCGAGAACGTAGTTGAAAAAAATCAAAAGAGAAAGGTAACTTTTAAGAAATCAAAAAGTTTGAAATAATATAACGTTACCTAAAAATCAGTATTCACGTTATACTCAAATATGTTTTTATAATGTATGAAAATGACAACTTAAAATACTATTAATTACTTTGTTGAGGTATGTTATGGCTGAACTATGTACCCCCAAATTCATATGTTGTAATCTTAGCTCCTAGTACCGCAGAATGGGAATGTATTTGGAGACAGGGTAAAAACAGGTCATGTGGGTGGGCACTAGTCCAATAGGACTGGTGCCCTTAGAAGAAGAAATCAGGACATAGACATACACAAAGAGATGACCATGTGAGGACACGGTCAGAAGGTGGTCATCTGTAAGCCAAGGAGAAAGGTCTGAGAAGAAAACAAATCAGCCAACACCTTGATATTGGATTTCTAGCCTCTATAATTGTGAGAAAATTAATTTGTTATTTAAGCTACCTAGTCTGTGGCATTTTGTTATGGTAGCCCTAGCAAACTAACACAAAGAAGAAAAAAAATCCTGAAGTTAGAACCTTTTAAATTCAAAGATTAATTACAGATAAAAATATAAAATTTCTAAAATTCCATGAAAATTATTTACTATTGAGTTTTTAACTATAGATCTTTAACATAAAGCAAGATATATTTGTAGCTCTGAAACAAAAAGGAAATGGATAATTGTTGTTTCCATCAGCTAAACTATGGAGGAAAGAAATTCTCCTTCGGTTCTGAGCTTTAGGGTGTGTGTGTGTGTGTGTGTGTGTGTGTGTGTGTGTGTGTGTAGATATAGGTAAATTATGTGTAAATATAATTTTACCTATCTTTAAATTAAAGTTGAAGTACTACCAGCTTGCTAAGGAGTAGAAATGGTAAGAATAATAATTTTGGGTAGATAAAAAGTTGACTAAACTGATAACAATAAGACAACCCAAATACATTTTTAGACTTTTAAAATTATCATCAATTTTTATACTTTTCTGCTCTTTTCATCCACATATATTTAGGATTATTTTAAAGATATACTTATATACATCTCATAGGTTGTTGATGGAAACAAATATAGACCTGAACCCCCAAGGACTTGATAAGAGTGAGTTATCTGTTGGAAACAATTTAACCATTTTTCTTTTGTGGGTTCTTCCCCATCATCATCATCATCATCACCATCATCACCATCATCACCATATTACAACGAATATTTAATTATTCTTTATTATATTTCAAACTCTGCTTAAGAGTTATACATATATATATAAATAGATTTCATCTTGAAAACAATCCTATGAGGTAGGTATTATTATTAGCAATTCCTATAGAATAAGGAACCTAGGCATAAGGATGTTAATTAACTTGCCCAAGGTCATACAAATAGTTACAGAGGTAGGATTTGAACCTAGACAGTTTGGTTCTGGAGACCATAGTTTTAGTACTACTCTGTAGTATATATTTAATCATAATCACTAAAAATAAACTGAAGAGTGATTAATAAAACTGCCTATAAATCTCTATCACTATCATCTGGACTTGAGAAGTTGTGCTGTGAATGTGGCTACTGCTACGGTTATAATAATGCACACCAATAGCAAGAAGTTATACTTGCAACAGATATTCCTCCCTTGATATATTGATCATCCCCTTCTTATTTATCTCAAAGATAAATCAAGAAATTATATATATACATATGGAAAAATTTTAGTTACTTTTTAATTCTAGTTATGTGAATTTAAATATAAGTAAGAAATCTACCTTCACAAACATGAACAAGAAAACACAAAAGAGAGAAAATAGGATATAAAGTCTCTTAAAATACGATTTTATCTAGTTTCTTTTTCATTTAAATCCACAACTCACTTTTTGTAGGTGACACTAAAGATTTTTAAATCAGGCCATGATAAAAGATTACCACTAATATCTCTTGCATTTCTAGGGCCATATTGTATACTTCTGCTCTTACTTAAAAGTTTAATTATCAAGATTTTAAAATCTAGTTTTATTTCCCTTCATAAATATACTTGATAAAGCAATAACCTTGGAATGATGTATAAAAGTATACAGCAGGTGACTAATTAAAG